TAGATACTCAGGAGGTTGAGATCTGAGGATTGAGGTTCAAAGCCAGCCCGGGGAAGGAACTCCATGAGACTCTTATCTCCAAATAAACCACCAGAAAACCAGAAGTGGCTCTGTGGCTCAAGTGGTAGAGTGCTTGCCTTGAGCTGAAGAGCTGAGGGGCAGCACCCAGGCCCAGAGTTCAAAAGTAGATGATACATACACAAAAAAAGGTGTGTGTGTGTTGGGGGGGGGGGGATATTTCTACAGTTGGATTACCTCCAGCATGCCTTTCCCCCCAGGTTTCCCTCACAGCCTCTCACTATCTTGCACAGCTCTATTACATTTGCATCCTTTTATAGCACATTTACCACCCACAACCCCTGAATAAAAAGCATCAGTGGCTCTCTGCTACCTAGTTATGCTACCTCTTCTCATCCCCAGAGTGCAATGCAGATAACAGAGAACGCAAAATGATCTCAAAACAGCAGCCAGAATCCTTCCCAATATCGATTCAGGAGCCAGTTCTGATAGGTAGAAACTGATATTCGAGAGAAACACATTTGTTCTCTGGAAATAAAATATGAAGTCTAAACTCCTTGGATGGGTATAAAAATTCTAGAATGACTCCTATTATTCTTGCAATCTTTCTTTCTCTCTCTCTCTCTCTCTCTCTCTGTAGTATCTTGTGGATCTATAGGAGGAAAAATATGAAAGTATTGAGCTACAAGAAAAAGAAAAAAGAAACTTTCTAGGTATCAGGAGAATATTAGGGTTAGCTGAGCCCACCCTTCTGGGACTTCTGATTCCAAGGTATCTCTAAACCTTTAATTGTCTTTGAGTTGTTTATAACTGAGTTGCAGACGATGGCAGTACAAACCATTCTTGTTCACAGACAATACATTTTGTCTAGTGAGTCCCAACTGATTTTCTTTCCCATTACAACTTTACCAATATTTTAAATTCATTTCATTCTCTTTTAGTGCCTATGTATGTTTTGTTCTTTGAATGTCACCTTAAATTACTTGTAATAATCCTTATTCCTTCAATTACTCAGTAAAATAAACATATCTGTCAAAAGTTCATTTTATAATTAAATAAGAGTTACAATTTTAATTGTTTAGAAAACATTTTTGGGGCTGGGAAGGTGGCTCAGTGGTAGAAGGTTTGCCTTGCATGCATGAAGCCCTGTGTTCCATTCCTCAGCACCACATAAGCAAAAAAGGCCAGAAGTGGCACTCTAGCTCAAGTGGTAGAGTTCCAGCCTTGAGCTAAAGAGCTGAGGGACAGCACCCAGGCCCAGGGTTCAGCCCCACAACCGATCCCCCCCTAAAAAAGAAAACATTTTTGTAACAAACCCTTTATTGTCTTTTTTACAACATACCAAATATGGAATGCCTTCCCTGGCTCTTTCTCCTAACATTAGTGATGATTCATATTTCTGAGATAAATCTAAAGTACTCATTGTGTCTCCAAACTACAAAATCCATGATTTTCATGATGAACCCAGGCCATAAATTATGCTTTAATTTATTTTAGTTATCATCTTTTCTTTAAAATAGCTTCTGAAACACATATCTACCCCCCCTTGATTCAAATGCTGTATGTATTGCAATTTTATCTTACACAAGACTCATTTATTTATAGGTAAATTTGCATCCAAGTTTCTTGAAGACATTGATCATTGTGTCTGCATAAGATTCCTGGATCACTGGGGACCATATACAGTGCTCCGTAAATATCCTTGCCTTGTCCTACCCAGTGCCTATGAGCTGGGGTTCTCAGCGCAGACCTCCCTCTGGAAAAAAAAAATCACTTAACTTCACTTGGGGAATTAATCCATTATATTTTGACAGAAGGTGCATCTTTCTCAGGAAAATTCTTGCTGAACTTTTATAAAGATGGTCAGAGCTTCTATGAAACACCAAATAAAATACAACACTGCCAGAAAACACCAGGAACTGAAAAATAAAACTTAATGTACTTCTGGGAAATCTTTCCCCTTTACTACTGTACCAAAGTGTCTCTAAGTATGTGGCAAGGCACAGTCTTATGCAGTCTTCCAAGGTCTACAATTAAGCAAGAATTTTTGACAGAGCCTGGGGATTCATTTACATCTAAAGTGTAATTTGTAATCCAGTAAAGTCACCTGATAGGGCTGGGAAGGTGGCTCAGTGGTAGAGCGCTTGCCTTGCATGCATGAGGCCCTGGGTTCAATTCCTCAGCACCATATAAGCAAAAAGAAAAAAAGCCAGAAGTGGCGCTGTGGCTCAAGTGGTAGAGCACTAGCCTTGAGCTGAAGAGCTGAGGGGCAGCGCCCAGGCCCAGAGTTCAGGCCCCACGACTGGACCAAAAAGAAAAAAGAAAAAGAAAAAAAAAAAGTCACCTGATAGTGAAAGAGAGAAAAAAAAATTGAACTAAAGGAGGAAAAACAGACACATATTTGGGACCTGAGCATTATGATAATAATATTCCAAATACTGTATCTGAACTCTTAACAGTAATCTGTGGTAAATATTTCTAAGAGATCAAAGAAATTATGTACTCGTGCTGACTTACATCACTAATGCATACAACCTACCAGCAATATCTAATGTGCTTTTTAATACCAACTCTACACAATGTGTATCACCGATATATATCCTGCCATGATTTGAAGTCTGAGTGATGAGAGAATTATAAATGATCTTGGGATTGCTGTTAGCATATTTGATTTTATGAACTATAAAATACTTTGCCAGTTGAATAGCTTCCCAAGTGAATTGAATTCTGGTTCTTATAATGCTATATTAAGCCAAAGGACTTCATATTTGAGTACTAACATGATTGCTGAGCATTTAATTTTTATGATTTTACTTATGATAATTATTTAAATTAAAACTGTCTTGCAGAAACTGCTATTATAAAAACCTAGTCCATTTAACCAATTTTATTTTTCTCGTGATAATTTTTAATTTTTGCCTTCATGTCTAGAAGATGAACTAGACTAAGCATTTCCCATTCTCAAGAATAGTACTTTGTCAGTCTAATAGTTAGATACTTTTTTTAAGCCTAAAAATACAAATAAACATTAAGGATTTTGGGTAGATATGATTTTTATTTATGGATCTCATACTGGCATAATTCAAATAAATAAGAAAAAATCATATAAGAAAAAGCCAATACTTAGTCCTAAAAAATTTCCCATATGAAAATAACATTCAATACAAACTAAATCCTGATGGAAAGACAGCATTCCTAATAGTAAATAAAATATATGTGGAGGAACACAACACTTTTAATTCATCAACAATATCATCATATTGAAAAATGAGAATTTCAGTATATTTTTCAAATGGTCCAGTAAGCCCAAGGCAAAAGTTATTTAACTGCTGGTTAATGTTCTTGTCTGGAGAATGTCAATCAAAATCATCTTCTTATACTTTACTAAAATGTATCCTATTAGCATCTTTCCATACCTCACATTTCTAAAGCAAAAGTATTTGCTTTACATGGTAACTTTGTTGCTTAAAGGATTCTTTTTTCTTGCTTATTAAGAACATACTTGCAGCTGGGTGCCAATGGATCAATCCTGTAATCCTAGATATTCAAGAAGCTAAGAACTAAGGATTGTGGTTTGATCTTCAGAAAGACCAGAAGACTTTTATCTCCAATTGACCACCAAAAAGCCAGAAGTACAGCTTTGGCTGTAGGAGCAAAAAAGCTATAGGACAGTGCCCACGCACTGAGTTCAAGCCCCAGTACTGGCACAAAACAAACAAAAAAGTTAAACTTGATGTGACTAGGGAGAGAATGGGCAAGGGCAAAAGGAAGAAAGAATGATGGAAAGGGTGGTTCTGATCAAGACACACTATAGAAATAAACAGACATGTTAGATGGTAATCTCCTCATCCCCTTATGCAATCATTTGTAGATAAAAAATTTTAATATAAAAAGTTACTACTACTATACATCTTATTTTATAAAAACTTTACTACTATTACTACTACTACTACTACTACTACTCTACTACATCCTATTTTACTTGTTTTCTAAAGACTATTTTTGGTGGCTTTTTAGGGCTCAAATCCAAGGCTTTCCCCATGATAGGCAAGTACTCTGCCATTGATATAGCCCTTAAAAATTTTTAAATTAAAACATATAGATAACCAGTATTAACATCACACTTCTGTATGTCTTCAGTACTGTTTTCATATAACAAAGCAATCTTTACCTGTTTGAAAATCCTTTCAGTGCTGTAAGGTATTGTATCATGAGGTAGTACTATAATTAATTTTCATGTTTTTCCCATTCACACGATTATTAATGTAAAAGTGTTTATAAATATAAACAGCCATATTTTATAAAGCTTGAAAAAGAGAAAAACAATGAAATCACAATCTATAATTCTTTAAAAGTCATTATTGTGAATTTTTTACATATATATATATATATAAGACTAAAGCATACTGAATTATTTTTATTTTGCATTATAGTGTAAGTTTTTTCTCTAACCATTGTGGCCTGTTGGGCCAAAATTCCTATACTACCTATTACTTGATTACCAAACAAGAAGCTGGCTTCTCTTTTTCTAAGTTTAAAAATAAATAGGGAAAGCATGCTGTTATTGTATCTATGCTGTAAAAATTGTTTCCTAATACTAGATTCACCCAAGATTATCCAGAGGTAGGCTTTATCAGTTTTATCTGTCCCTTACCAATCTAACACAGTGATTGTGAATCATAGAAATACATAGACAAAGAACGGATTCCATTTAAACAAACTCTTTTCCATACACTAGTGCTATTGACCCATCTGTCTTGAAAGAGCAATGTCCACTTGAATATGCTCACATTTTTAAACTTTTCATTCAAAAAAAGTCTATATCCACATACCTTTTAGATACAGCTTAGCTCATTTCCCCCTTTAAGTCTGAGATGTTGCTATAGAAATGTTTTCTGGAACTGCTTCCTTGGAGGGCTCTGAAATCCACATCAGGAGACAGCAGTGATTCTGATACAAAAAAAGAAAAGGCCCCAACTTACCGTTTCTAATGCATTTACACGGTCCTGAAAATAAAGCATAATATAGAATTATAAAACTATAGCTACAAAATCATTACAAGTTTACTTAGTTTAAAACTTTTCTATTTCTCCTCTATTATCAATAATTTATTTCCAAAATGTAAAACATCCAACCTCAAACTCAGAATGATCTCTTCAACAGAAAAAAAAAGGAAAAAAAAAAAAAGACAATAACCGCTAAAATAACCACTAAAGCCTTTTAAAAATATTTGATCTAGTGGTGGCACTACAGGGTTTAAATTAATAGTAATTATAAATTCAGGCACAGTTACTGAAAGAAATAGTTCTTACCCTTTGTGTATTAGAATACTTAGCTATATAAGGATATATTAATATTAAATTAGTGTGAATATATAAACCACAAATAAATGACAGCGATGACATAAAAAAAAAACTACCACACACACATTAGCTCTCATTAGCTAAATCAAAATATGATCTCACAGGAAGATACAGTTCAGGTATGAGAATAACTTCAACTATTAAAATCAGTAAGCAGGGCTGGGAAGGTGGCTCAGTGGTAGAGCGCTTGCCTTGCAAGCATGAGGCCCTGGGTTCGATTCCTCAGGACCACATAAGCAAAAAGAAAAAAGCCAGAAGTGGGGCTGTGGCTCAGGTAGTAGAGTGCTAGCCTTGAGCTGAAGAGCTGAGGGACAGCACCCAGGCCAGAGTTCATGCCCCACAACTGGACCCCCCGTCCAAAAAAAAGAGTGTTTAAAATCAGTAAGCAAATTGTATTAAGAACACTTTTTTTGGCTCAAGGCTAGCACTCTACAACTTAAGCCACACCTTCATTTTCAGCATTTTTCTAGTTAATTAGATAAGAGTCTCTCAGGTTTATCTGCCCAGGCTGGCTTTGAACCATGATCCTCAGATCTCAGCCTCCTGAGTAGCTAGGATCACAGATGTGAGCCACCAGTCTTGCCCTTTCAAAAGATTTGTCTTCAAGTTCCACCTGTAGGTTCACCCTCTCTCCTATTCTCCCCTATTTCCAAGCCTAAAGCCTGAAAAGAAAAGCATTGTTAGGACATTGAAAGATTAAGAGGTAGGGGGGTGGGTAGGGAAAAAAAAAAAAAAAAACTTCTAAAGAAACCCTCTTGTGATAATGGTGCTTTATTGTATTTATTATTCATTTTTAAACTTTTTGTTGCTATTATTGTTATTATTATTATGCAATGATGTACAGGGTGATCATGCAATTTAGAAAAACCAGTGGCTCCTATTTTCAGTCATGGACGTTCAGAGAAACATGAACACTGAACACAACACACATACAACATTTTGTGTATACTAAGGGAAATAACCTACCTTTCAGCTGCCAAACCCTTTTACTCCAAATAAAAACATTTAAAACAATAAGAAGTCCATTATACAAATAAATTACTTTATTAAGCCAATCTATTTTTGCTTTTTACAATGTTTCTAGAACACTAACAGGAAAGAAATAATTATAACTCTTAACAGTCCAGGGCAAAAGTAAAAAGATGAAGTAGGGATGGAAAGCTTTAAAAAAAATCAAAGCAAGAATTTCTTAATTACTTTGAAGAAAAGGGTTTGGGGGGGGGGCTTTTTGGTGGGGGGAGGAAGGGACCTGTAGCATTGCATTATTTTGTATGATCAGGTAGAAAAGATCAACTTTAAGAAACATATAATGGCAAAAATAATATTAATGTCACTGCACATAGTCCCTGAATAGTCACCAAGTTAAATGCTCAGTGTTAAATGGATATTCTTATCAGTGAGTGAGTGTCACATGATGTTTCAATTTGTTCTGGGCTTGAAAGATCAAGTAGAAGAAGTGTTTCTGGGGGAATCCTATAGCAGTGTTTTTATGATGAGATTAGCACCCTGCATTTAGCCATCACAGAGTAATCTAAGAGAAGACTTAGAAGCTTATAAGTCTAAATAATCAAGATTCTGCCTCTGGTAAGTATAACAAAACAAGTTTACTGACATTAATTCATCATGGTCCAAGAAAGCTTTAAATGTCATTAGCATATGAAAAAGCTCAATACTGACATAAAATACGTAACTGGAATATCACCTCCAGGTCTAATTTTGGAAACGTGCCTGTGACTGAGGATCATGATAGACATATAATCGGAAAAGAAAGAAAATCATAGTGAGGACTTCTTTCTGTAATGGTTTAAAAGCACCACACCTCTCTGTGGAAGAAAAAAGGACTCCGAAGACCACTGCATGAAGCTCTTTCTGTCAGAGTCACTTCACTAATCCACACTCAACCAGCCATTTTCTATACAAAGAATATAAAATACATCTCAAGAGATGTATGGGTTTTTTTAGTTCTAAGCACTTCCCATAGCAAAACACTCATTGCAAAACATTCCACTGGACAATACCAGTTTTTTAAAATAATTTTTAAAAGTAGAAAATATTTCAAATGTATTCTTTCCCACACTTCAAGAATGTAAAAAAGAAAAGAATAATGTCTTCATTGACTATAGCCAAAAACATCATTTCACATAGTGATGTAAATAAGTTCGAATAAAACAAAGAAATAAAAATCATAACTGTTGATGTAGCAACAGCTAAAAAAACACCTTTAAAAAGTTGATTTTGAATATAACCAATGCAATGGCCTGTAATGAAATTTCATGCTAGCTATTAATAGTCAAGACAGTGTAACTCTGAACTTCAGAAGACTTTAGAATGGGCAGGCTTAGAGGAAATGTCACTGTTATGTCAATTATCCAGTGTTCAATTTTGCCCACAATAGTTAGGACCAATATTTGTTAACTCATTTCACTATTTTTTGTGCGTTTATTCCAATAGCTTACTTCAGGTTCAAAACAACAAAAGTCTGGAAAACTAAGACCATTACAACAAACAAGACTCTAAGCATTTATCTAAACAGCTGTCAGTAAAACTTCACAACATTTTGACTTTCCAAGCAAAGCCCACATGTGCTACCTCATGACCATGTCCTACACAAAATGTATCCTACAACATTCTTGATCACCTTTTACTTAGTGAGTAGCAAATCTCTGAAGCAGAGGCAGAAACCGAGTTTAAAAACAGACTCACCATGTTTTTTTCTACTTCTCTAGCGTCTTCTCTTAGATATTATACTGCCACCATAAGAAGTAAAGGCAGTTGTTGTGTAGCTTTCTTCTGCCTCCTTCTCAGGTTGGCATTTTTTGGTTTCTGGTCCTGTTTGCTATGAGGTGATAGCTGACTGTTACATTTTGGTATGAGACTATTCAGGAAAGACTAATATATGAAAATGGGATGTTCTTTGGTATCTACTTGAGGGAAATACAGAAAGAGCTGTAGGCAGAGTTGAGAATGAGGAATGAAAGGTGCAATGGAAGAGCAGGACTAAGAGAAAGATATGGAAATTGGATATTAGTATTGCTCTCAAATTCCAAATGGAAAAAATGCTGCCTATGAGAAAAGGTAACTGTTCTGTTTCAAGTTCCTACAAATATTTCCACTGAGTTGTCTGAAATAGACACTTTAAAAAAAGAAAAACATCAGATTTATCTTTTATATTCCAAAACATAAAAAGTAGATTTTTTTCTTTAAAAATGAGAGATAATTTCAAGATTCTTCTATTAAAGCATAATGTAATACAGTACACAGAATGTGACTAGAAAGAAAAGAAAGGGCAAAAGACACAGGATTATCTTGTCTCAGGACTGCCAGAGTCTACAGTGAAAGGTATCCTAAGCAAGCGGTAACAGGCATATGCTCAGTGTGTGACATCGGAGCTGGAACACAACGAAAAATTATATACAGATAAAATAAAAACTCCGTAGTGATTAGGAGCAATGCAAATGATGACCAATGTAATTTCCAAGACTTTCCTCAAAAGAACATGTAAGCATCAAATAGAGGAATAGAGGAAGAAAGCCAGCAACTCAGAAACCATTATCCCATCAATTTGTCCCCAAAGATTTACACTTGAAAAACCAAAGCCCATGTTCCCAGGGTGTGAGATTATTTATACACCAGCAAAATAGGCACTGAACTCCTATGCCAATAATAGTGCAATGGTGACTATGACATAACTTATGAGCAGGTCTGTGTCGTGTGCACGCTGTGGAAAACAATAGGTTCTGCTTTCATTGTTCAGGTATACAAAGGGTGAGGATCTAAAAGCCATGAAGTCTACACTCTCTGGGGTAGACACTGCCTCTGATTCCCTCAAGGGTGAACGTCTCTCCTGTGCTTCTTAGTAAAGAATGATATAACCACAGAATCCTTGGAAATCTAGCTCCTTTCTCCTGCAAATGGATGTTACAGAACTGACTCATCAAATGCTAAAAGCACACAGTCTACCTTGGGGATTAAACTGCTTACCTTTAGTAAATTCCAACAATCCTCATTCAGAGCCATTTATTCCCCACTCATGAAGGATGAAAGCAGGAGGAATGTTATATTAGACACTGGCTGATCTCACCCTTCATTCCCATATACTTTCTATGTGCTTCAGTGATATATTTCTCAGCTTCAGTGCACCTGTGGTGCTGCTAAGGATAATCAAACACTAAGCTGAAAGTTTCAGAATAATCTATTTTGCAAACCTGGGCTAGGTTTCCATGCATTCTAAATTAAAATTGTACTATTAAGATCCATTCACTAATATAATACATAGGTTGAAGGGAAAAGTAACTGAAGAATTTCAAACTAACCTCAGATTACCAGCTCTCTAATTGGCAGTGTGAAACAATTTTTTATCTGAATAAATTGAGGAAAAACACAATTTAGATTGACTTCTAAAATGCATACCTGAAGGCTGGCTTATCCTGTATATCCTACAATAAAACAGATGTATTTTCACTATTCCATTCCAAATATCCTACATATTCCTACCTATGAAATACTTAACTGCTTTTTCTTCAAAATGAACTTCATTCTGATTTTTCACTGCAGTCTGACTACCGTCTTCCCAGGGTGGAAGTTTATACAGTAGATGCGGCTGTTTAAGAGAGATGTAAGTTACGAAAAGAGTTGGAAAGTTC